ACCAAAAAATTATCTCAACCACCTTAACCTGGAATGCTTTTCCAACAGTCTTGAAGGAGTTCCCACATATGCTGAGCACTTGTTGGCTGCTTTTCCTTCACTCTGCCGTCCGACTCATCCCAAACCATCTCAATTGGGTTGAGGTTGGGGGATTGTGGAGGCCAGGTCATCTGATGCAGCATTCCATCATGCTCCTTCTTGGTAAAATAGCCCTTACACAACCTGGAGGTGTGTTGGGTCATTGTCCTGTTGAAAAACAAATGATAGTCCAACTAAGCGCAAACCAGATTGGATGGCGTATCGCTGCAGAATGCTGTGGTAGCCATGCTGGTTAAGTGTGCCTTGAATTCTAAATAAATCACAGACAGTGTCACCAGCAAAGCATCTCCACACCATAACACCTCCTCCTCCAAGCTTTACGGTGGGAACTACACATGCAGAGATCCTCCGTTCGCCCACACCACGTCTCACGAAAACATGGCGGTTGGAACCACAAATTTCCACTGGTCTAATGTCCATTGCTCGTGTTTCTTGGCCCAAGCAGGTCTTATTGGTGTCCTTTAGTAGTTGTTTTTTTTGGCAGCAATTCGACCATGAAGGCCTGATTCACACAGTCCCTTCTGAACAGTTGATGTTGAGATGTGTCTGTGACTTGAACTCTGTGAAGCATTTATTTGGGCTGCAATTTCTGAAGCTTGTAACTCTAATGAACTTATACTCTGCAGCAGAGGTCACTCTGGGTCTTCCATTCCTGTGCACTTGAAGAAACTTTCAAAGTTCTTGACATTTTCCATATTGATTGTCCTTCATGTCTTAAAGTAATGATGGAATGTCATTTCTCTTTGCTTATTTGAGCTGTTCTTGCCATAATATGGACTTGGTATTTTACCAAATAGGGCTTTCTTCTGTATACCCTCCCCCTACCTTGTCACAACACAACTGATTGGCTCAAACGCATTAAGAAGGAAAGAAATTCCACACCTGTTAATTGAAATGCATTCCAGGTGACTACCTCATGAAGCTGATTGAGATAATTCCAAGGGTGTGCAAAGCTGTCATCAAGGCAAAGGGTGGTGTAGTGTATTAGGATTATGCCTTTGTTAAATGTTTTTCATGATGGAATGTTGTTTATGTTAGTTCAAAAGTAGCAGTTGTAGGGTGACGCCCCAGGGGAGACGGGTGATTGGACCGCAGAGGGAGCCACCCATATTTTCACATTGTTTATAAGTATATGCTGTGGGCATAGGGGGTTAGAGCAGCCATTAGAATTCGAGGACACTGCTCTCCAGACCCTGCAAGTCTGTAACTCATGCTGAAAGCTTGTGATATGAATAAATCTTATGATCCAGGTTCAGTATGAGCGGACTCCTTTGTTCATCAGCAATAATTGCCAGCATTTACTCGATACGACAGTGGCTATTTGAAGAATCTCAAATATAAACTATGTTTGGATTTGTTTAACACTTTTTGGGTACTACCGGTACATGATTCCATATGTGTTATTTCATAGTTTTGAGGTCTTCACTATTATTCTACAATGTAAAAAATAGTAACAATAAAGAAAAACCCTTGTATGAGTAGGTGTGTCCAAACGTTTGACTGGTAGTATATATATATATATATATATATATATATATATATATATATATAAGGAAGAGAAGCTTAGGCCTAACCCCAGAGAGATAGAGAGAGAGAAATGCCGGTGGCATGCTACGACACGCCATTTCTTTATGTGAGATGGCTACTGTGTCTGCTATACAGGTATAGACGTAGCTAAAGCTTAATAATAGCCACACCACACCAAACCTTCAAAAACGTTTCTACACTTTTTAGGGTAATATCAAAAGTAAGTCAAGCCCCCCCCCCCCCCCCCCCCCCCCCCCCCCCCCAGCACATTAGAGCTTGTTTATGAAATGTTGCTAATTTAACAGGAAGTTTACCCAGGACACTCCTGACCTGCATTTAATTTCATAATTTGTTAAAATTAGGTTAGGGTTAAGGATAAGGGTTTGGTTAGGATTAAGGTAAGGGTCAGTTTTAGATTTTGGTCAGTCGTTTTACAGGTCAGGAGTGTCCTTATCGAGATTCCCTTAAAAACACACCACTTAGATACAGCTACGACCAGAAGTGACTTTTTCGTAGCAGGTTAGGACAATTTACGCAGCAGGTTAGGATAATTAACGTTGCAGGTTAGAAGAATTAGGTTCCTAACCTGCTATGAAAAGTCACTTACGGCTGTAACTGTATCGACGTTTCGTGTCCTTATCTTATATACGCTGCCTTTATCCTGCAACAACTCAACTTCTCTGTTGTGCTCCTCTCAATGAACGTTCAACAATGATCCGGTTAATGGTATTCATAAGAACAGTTTACGAAGAACAAGAACAACTTTTCCTGTTCCTGTTTCGGGGGTGATTTTGTCTCACTGGTAGGCTACAATCAACATTAGGACAAGTCCTCTCTGCCTCTTCTCAATACATGGAAGATATGAAAGCGTGTTCAACGTGATATCCCGTTGTGTCATTGGGAAAGATCACTCCTATGATCGTAAGTTATATTAATCTCCACCTTTGTCAGTTTAAGTGTGTCCACCATGGTGTCCACGTCTTGAAAATGCCTGTACCAAAATTATCCCTGAGTTGACTTTATCTCACAAGAGATTCAATCAGTGAAAACAAAATATGAAGCTAGGAGAACAACATGCTTTGTTTTCAACAATTACAGTAGGCTATTTAACATTTAATGGACAATAAAATACAGCTCTAATAAATATTCACAAAAATCATCACTTCAACATGTAATTGAAGTGGTCATTTGTAGGCTGGCTGTATCAAACATGTATAAAACTTTTGCATGACCTTTATAGAAAGCCTGTACAAGACATGCACATGTAATGGAATTGCCCCTATTTTCCTGTTGTGTTATGAATGTTTTATGAATGCTTTCTATTTTATGAAGTGCATGAGTGCCTGTACAGTTTACAATTCTTGTCACAAATAGAATATGCCTCTTGAAAAATACAAATGTGATTTATTATGTCTGAAAACAAAGGTGTTTGAAATACATATGAAAGGTATCAGTTGTATTTAGTACATTTAGAGCCATGTATTTTTTGTTATACTGTTAAAAGTTTTCAATGATTTGTATCTGTGTTTGACTTTGGACATAAAGAGACCCCACAGATGTTTTGTATGATAGGGCCCCATTCTCTGCCCTCGACTTGGTTCCCTTTTTCCTTATCACTTCCTTCTTTAGACTCAATTTGAGGGAGGGGAACTAGACCTTGCACATACAGTTGAAGTCGGAAGTTTACATACGCTTTAGCCAAATACATTTAAACTCGGTTTTTCACAATTCCTGACATTTAATCCTAGTAAACATTATTTTAAGAATGTGAAATGTCAGAATAATAGTAGAGAGAATGATTTATTTCAGCTTTTATTTATTTCATCACATTCCCAGTGGGTCAGAAGTTGACATGCACTCAATCAGTATTTGGTAGCATTGCCTTTAAATTGTTTAACTTGGGTCAAACGTTTTGGGTAGTCTTCTACAAGCTTCCCACAATAAGTTGGGTGAATTTTGGCCCATTCCTCCTGACAGAGCTGGTGTAACTGAGTCAGGTTTGTAGGCTTCCTTGCTCGCAAACGCTTTTTCAGTTCTGCCCACACATTTTCTATAGGATTGAGGTCAGGGCTTTGTGATGGCCACTCCAATACCTTGACTTTGTTGTCCTTAAGCCATTTTGCCACAACTTTGGAAGTATGCTTGGGGTCATTGTCCATTTGGAAGACCCATTTGCGATCAAGCTTTAACTTCCTGACTGATGTCTTGAGATGTTGCTTCAATATATCCACATAATTTTCCTTCCTCATGATGCCATCTATTTTGTGACGTGTACCAGTCCCTCCTGCAGCAAAGCACCCCCACAGCATGATGCGGCCACCCTTGTGCTTCACGGTTGGGATGGTGTTCTTCGGCTTGCAAGCGACCCCCTTTTTCCTCCAAACATAACAATGGTCATTATGGCCAAACAGTTATATTTTTGTTTCATCAGACCAGAGGACATTTCTCCAAAAAATACAATCTTTGTCCCCATGTGCAGTTGCAAATCGTAGTCTGGCTTTTTTATGGCGGTTTTGGAGCAGTGGCTTCTTCCTTGCTGAGTGGCCTTTCAGGTTATGTCGATATATGACTCGTTTTACTGTGGATATAGATACTTTTGTATCTATATCCACAGTAAAACAGCAAGGTCCTTTGCTGTTGTTCTGGGATTGATTTGCACTTTTCGCACCAAAGTATGTTAATCTCCTTCCTGAGCGGTATGACGGCTGCGTGGTCCCATGGTGTTTATACTTGCGTTTTATTGTTTGTACAGATGAATGTGGTACCTTCAGGCATTTGGAAATTGCTCCCAAGGATGAACCAGACTTGTGGAGGTCTACAATTTTTTTTTCTGAGGTCTTGGCTGATTTCTTTATATTTTCCCATGATGTCAAGCAAAGAGGCACTGAGTTTGAAGGTAGGCCTTGAAATACATCCACGGGTACACCTCCAATTGACTCAAATGATTTAAATTAGCCTATCAGAAGCTTCTAAAGCTATGACATCATTTTCTGGAATTTTCCAAGCTGTTTAAAGGCACAGTCAACTTAGTGTATGTAAACTTCTGACCCACTGGAATTGTGATACAGTGAATTATAAGTGAAATAATCTGTCTGTAAACAATTGTTGGAAAAATTACTTGTGTCATGCACAAAGTAGATGTCCTAACCGACTTGCCATAACTATAGTTTGTTAACAAGAAATGTGTGGAGTGGTTGAAAAACGAGTTTTAATGACTCCAACCTAAGTGTATGTAAACTTCCGATTTCAACTGTAGCTGACCATAGCATAACATGCTGTAGCTTTACAAAGGTATAGTCCCATAATTTTTCATGGACATTGTAATGTACGGGTCTCTTTCCCAATGGCTTTGTAAAGATCCCTATGCTGCTGAGATGGAGAAGGCATACGCAGAGCTGTACAGGGAGTTCCTCCAACTGCGCTCGCTATGTCTGAAGCAGGCTGCTCTACTCCAGCAACTCACACAGACACTGAGGAGACAGCAAGGTCACTCCCATCTCCTTATTATATAATAAAAAATTATATACTTCTCATACCATGCCTGTTCTGCAGGTTCTTTATGTTACAATGAATGCCAAAATCAGTGAATTCAGTGCATACAATATCAATTAATCTAGTAGGCTACAAGACAGTCAAGATGTTTGACAGACTTATACAGTGGGGGGAAAAAGTACACTGCTCAAAAAAATAAAGGGAACACTTAAACAACACAATGTAACTCCAACTCAATCACACTTCTGTGAAATCAAACTGTCCACTTAGGAAGCAACACTGATTGACAATACATTTCACATGCTGTTGTGCAAATGGAATAGACAACAGGTGGAAATTATAGGCAATTAGCAAGACACCCCCAATAAAGGACTGGTTTTGCAGTTGGTGACCACAGACCACTTCTCAGTTCCTATGCTTCCTGGCTGATGTTTTGGTCACTTTTGAATGCTGGTGGTGCTTTCACTCTAGTGGTAGCATGAGACGGAGTCTACAACCCACACAAGTGGCTCAGATAGTGCAGCTCATCCAGGATGGCACATCAATGCGAGCTGTGGCAAGAAGGTTTGCTGTGTCTGTCAGCGTAGTGTCCAGAGCATGGAGGCGCTACCAGGAGACAGGCCAGTACATCAGGAGACGTGGAGGAGGCCGTAGGAGGAGTGTATTTAGTCAGCCACCAATTGTGCAAGTTCTCCCACTTAAAAAGATGAGAGGCCTGTAATTTTCATCATAGGTACACGTCAACTATGACAGACAAAATGAGAAAAAAAAATCCAGAAAATCACATTGTAGGATTTTTTATGAATTTCTTTGCAAATTATGGTGGAAAATAAGTATTTGATCAATAACAAAAGTTTCTCAATACTTTGTTATATACCCTTTGTTGGCAATGAGACAGGTCAAACGTTTTCTGTAAGTCTTCACAAGGTTTTCACACACTGTTGCTGGTATTTTGGCCCATTCCTCCATGCAGATCTCCTCTAGAGCAGTGATGTTTTGGGGCTGTCGCTGGGCAACACAGACTTTCAACTCCCTCCAAAGATTTTCTATGGGGTTGAGATCTGGAGACTGGCTAGGCCACTCCAGGACCTTGAAATGCTTCTTACGAAGCCACTCCTTCATTGCCCGGGCGGTGTGTTTGGGATCATTGTCATGCTGAAAGACCCAGCCACGTTTCATCTTCAATGCCCTTGCTGATGGAAGGAGGTTTTCACTCAAAATCTCACGATACATGGCCCCATTCATTCTTTCCTTTACACGGATCAGTCGTCCTGGTCCCTTTGCAGAAAAACAGCCCCAAAGCATGATGTTTCCAGCCCCATGCTTCACAGTAGGTATGGTGTTCTTTGGATGCAACTCAGCATTCTTTGTCCTCCAAACACGACGAGTTGAGTTTTTACCAAAAAGTTCTATTTTGGTTTCATCTGACCATATGACATTCTCCCAATCCTCTTCTGGATCATCCAAATGCACTCTAGCAAACTTCAGATGGGCCTGGACATGTACTGGCTTAAGCAGGGGGACACGTCTGGCACTGCAGGATTTGAGTCCCTGGCGGCGTAGTGTGTTACTGATGGTTGTTATTTTGGTCCCAGCTCTCTGCAGGCCATTCACTAGGTCCCCCCGTGTGGTTCTGGGATTTTTGCTCACCGTTCTTGTGATCATTTTGACCCCACAGGGTGAGATCTTGCGTGGAGCCCCAGATCGAGGGAGATTATCAGTTGTCTTGTATGTCTTCCATTTCCTAATAATTGCTCCCACAGTTGATTTCTTCAAACCAAGCTGCTTACCTATTGCAGATTCAGTCTTCCCAGCCTGGTGCAGGTCTACAATTTTGTTTCTGGTGTCCTTTGACAGCTCTTTGGTCTTGGCCATAGTGGAGTTTGGAGTGTGACTGTTTGAGGTTGTGGACAGGTGTCTTTTATTTACATTTACATTACATTTACGTCATTTAGCAGACGCTCTTATCCAGAGCGACTTACAAATTGGTGCATTCACCCTATAGCCAGTGGGATAACCACTTTACAATATATATATATACATATATATATATATTATTTTTTTTAGGGGCGGGGGGGTAGAAGGATTACTTTATCCTATCCCAGGTATTCCTTAAAGAGGTGGGGTTTCAAATGTCTCCGGAAGGTGGTGAGTGACTCCGCTGTCCTGGCATCGTGAGGGGGCTTGTTCCACCATTGGGGTGCCAGAGCAGCACTTTTATACTGATAACAAGTTCAAACAGGTGCCATTAATACAGGTAACGAGTGGAGGACAGAGGAGCCTCTTAAAGAAGAAGTTACAGTCTGTGAGAGCCAGAAATCTTGCTTGTTTGTAGGTGACCAAATACTTATTTTCCACCATAATTTGCAAATAAATTCATAAAAAATCCTACAATGTGATTTTCTGGATTTTTTTTTCTTATTTTGTCTGTCATATTTGACGTGTACCTATGATGAAAATTACAGGCCTCTCTCATCTTTTTAAGTGGGAGAACTTGCACAATTGATGGCTGACTAAATACTTTTTTTCCCCACTGTAAAAGCTGGTTCCTTCCTTAGGAGAAGCCCCTGTTCCTGATGGAGAACCCAGCGTAATGGTATCAATCCCAGTCCTGTGCACCCAGGAGGGCCTGGGGTCTTTCCCTTTACGGCCAGAACCCCCAATGGTCCCAACACACAACCCTGTTGCACACCAAGGCGGTAAAGTCCAATCTGGGGCCTTGGGCTCATTCTCTGATCTCCTGGCAGGGGATCTGGGCAGACTACGGCTGGACTTTGCTCATCCAGGGACAGAAAGGAAGGAGGTCCTCAAAGCTGCCCCCCTCAGGCCTCTGGACCTACCTGGGGCTAATGGAGAGGTGGCACCTTCCAGTGTCTCTGGGGACTTGAAGCAAGCAGGTCGATTTTGGGGCGATGATACGACCCGACAAATGTTCCGGGTAGGTTTCTCCCCTTGAATTCATTTATTTCAATGTTTTATTAGACTTTATTAACATAACTTATGTTTGTTCTCTCCCTCCCCCCATCCCTATGACTCCCTCCAAACCTCCCCCCCCCCCCCCACCTTAGATGACCTCGGCGTGTGGCTCCTTCCTGGACAGTGAGTTCCTGAGCCAGACCGGGGGGATGATGCTGATGTCAGATGTGGCAGTGCAGTCTCAAGTGTGTGACTTCTGCAATGCTGTGTTCCCTGGCTACACCACCACCAGGGGGGACTTCCTGCGCCACCTCCACACACACATCACCTAAAACACTGGTTCCCCTATAACACCACACACACATCACCTAAAACACTGGTTCCCCTATAACACCACACACACATCACCTAAAACACTGGTTCCCCCATAACACAACACACACATCACATAAAACACTGGTTCCCCCATAACATGGTAAACAATCCATTATAATGTTACACATAATATATGTATAATTATCCTATGTAGGTAAAACGTCTGTCATGAATGTAGTGCTACATTGATTAATACATATGGCCAATTATCTTCAAATAATACTTTTGATATTGTCTCTATTTTTATGTATTTATGTTGTTTTTGTAATTATAATGTAAATTCTAGTTTGAAAATATTATGTATTTCTTTTTCGGAACATGAAGCTTCCCACTGGGCACAGACGTCAGTTCAACGTTTAGTTTTGTTGTTGAGTTGTCGACTAATGTAAATGAAACTTGAAATCAACAACAGAAAATGGATTTAGGATTTAGGTGTGAAAAATACAAAATACCCTTACGTTGATGATTTTTTGCAAATCCAATCAGTTTTCCACGTGGATTCAACGTCATCATAGATTTTGGGGGGTTGAAATTACATGGAAACAACGTTGATTCAACAAGTTTTTTCCCCAGAGGGTTATTATTTTGCTACAGTGATCAGTCATTTGCGCCATATGGGCCCTGGTCAAAAGTAGTACATTATATAGGTCATAGGGTGCAATTTGGGATGCAACCTTGGTCTTTCACAATCAGAGCAGCGAAGCAAAAGCACACAGCAGAACTCCTTGACGAGCCACCAGGTTGGCAGCTATATCTCGCTATATTTAGTCTGCTCTCTCATCATGGTGGTAGTGGGGGATGCACAGACTCACATAGAGTGAAGAGGGTGACGTCACAAATACAGGTGAGTCATGTAAGCATCATCTGTACAGGATTAGCACAGAACTGGAAGGAACAAACAACTTGATGGAGTGGGGGTGGTGATGATGATGATGGTGGTGATATTAGGGGGAGAGTGGGAATATGACTGTTTGGACTTGGTGCTTTTCTATTAGTTCCCTAATTACTGGCACCATTCGAATGACATAGGCTTCTTCAGCCTTATCATACATTTGACTCTTATGCTCCGTCAAAATGGATTTCCTCAAAAGGAGTGCAACAGATGGGGCCACAACAAGATTTTTAAAACAATAAAATAATATTTATTGAGATTTAACAAAATAAATAATCTTCTGTTCAACATAACAAACTGAGGAGGTTGTTTAATGCTTGTGAGGCAGGAGTTTACAGTTTAGGTACCTCATGGAAATAATGTGTGCGTCCCAAATTGCACCCTATTTCCTCTATAGAGCACCACCTTTGACCAGAGCCATATGGGCCCTGGTCAAAAGTAGTGCATTATATAGGAAATAGAGGGCCTTTTGGGATGCAGAAAATGTAATGTCCTGGATTCACCCTGATTTCTTAATCATCCAAACACCTTTCTTTTCAACATTCATACCCAGTAACATCTGATTATGTTTATTTTAATTTAATTTTTTTAGTTTATTCTCCAAACTCCATTGTCAAAGAATTTAGTGTTTAATATGACACACATACTGTATAAAAAAATATAACATTGGGAGATGATCATTCTTGTCATTGTTACCTAAGTAATTGCCTCAGGTAAGAGTTATGCAAATGATTGTTGCTTGTAAATTATTGTTGCTTACTTAAGCCTTATTAAGTTAAATCAAATAATGTTGAATTCACCAACAAATCTAATCTAAGGGCTCAATAATATTAACATATTAACATCCAAACCCACCCCTCTAAATTAACATAGTCTCAGTGGGTGCAGTGCTGCAGTATTGGGAGAAAAAGGCCTCTGAACTTGATTATCTTCTCTGATTATCTTCTCTGTACACATATATTTACGTTTATCATCTAACTATCAAACGGTCAACACTCAAATGAGTGACACTTTGCAAACCAAGCTTTAACGGCAGTGTCATTGCAGATACTTATCCTCATCACAAGTCCTTTCTCAGTTTGTATCAACAAAAATAGCACCAAAAGTTAGTCATGATATCAACATTTTGCATCCATTGTCCAATGGGCGGGGTGGGGGAGGGGGGGATTATGGGGATTGGGATTATGTACATAGGGGACAGATTTAGACATTGTCGCATCATTGTGTGACAAACCTCCCACAGTTGTGTAAGTGTTACAGTAGTCCTGTGGAGACGTGGCTAATGCCCTCGGAGGGCTGTTTGGAGGGTTTGGGCATACTATATACAGAGGTAAAGTTGTAGAGCGCTTGTCTCTCAATTTCAGTACTGGAGTGCCATAGTATTTGCAGGTTTAGGATGTGTTGCCTCTGCCTGAACCACCCGATTCAGCCAATCATGGGTTCCGTCCCAAATAGCACCATATTCCCTATATCATGCACAGCTTTTGACCAGGGTTCTGATCAAAAGTAGTGCATTATGTAGGGTGCCATTTAGGATGCACATCTGATTTAGATTGGAATTATTTATTCCACCTCCCCTCCCCCTTATTCCCCCAGTACTGTTAGTGGTTTAAGTACAGATGGAAAGCCTACTGAGTTTGGCCCTCCAGAATTGAGGGTGATGAGAGGCAGGGTTGTTGATGGGTTCTCAGGATGATGAGTTTCACTACTTTCCCCCTTGGTCCGAGTCATCTTTGGTGCTGCCAGGGCTGCTGCTCCTGCACACTGCTACTGAGCTCCTCCTCTCCGCTTTGGCCTCAAAGTCTGGAAGAGGAAAGATGAGGGCTGTTAGCCTATATGCCTGACTGAGACAATATGATGACAATACATTATTACTCTCCCTGAACCTTTGAGTGCTTGCTATGGTCAACTGTACACCAGATTGGTTAGGGTCATAACTTTTACGAGTACTTCACTTACTCAAAGTAATGACTGGATATACAACAACACCATGCAACTATGGTAGCACGCTTTAATATTTGAAATGGAATATTAAATGTCAAGGGTTTTGTCTGACAGAATGAGAGCCCACTTACAGGCTAATAGGATAACACTGTAGCTGGAGTAGGTGCAGTTAAAGTACAGTCAGAGGAGACAGGTCGTGTTGCGTGGAGAGAGTGAAACAGAAAAGGAGAAGGAAACCAAAGTGAGCGATAGAACAAAGGACGACGGAGGGGAAGTTGGAGGGAGACCGACATCATAGAGAGATGAAATGGTTGTTTCCCCCCCTCTACTTAAGAAGTAGAGGGAGAGGGAGAGGGAGAAAAAAAGCCTGTGCCATTTCCCTGCCCACTGGTTTTTATTTTTGTTCTCTGTCGCTCGGTGAGTCAATGCAACGCCCCTCCAATTACACCCACTCCTTCACCCCCTCTCTCCATCCATCCCGCCCTTCAGCCCACACGCCTAACACACTGTGACGTCAGCCGGTGGCGGAGCGAGGGAGTGGGGGGGGGGGGGGGGTCTGTTTCTACCGCCCCCACAGCACTTCCTCTGCCCCTCCCACCATCATTCTCTCTTTCTTTCTCCCACTCTATCTCCCTGTATCTTCTCCACCCTGCCAACTGTGACAGCCTAGTGCTACGGCACAGTAGTTTTATTAACATCTGAATGGCTGTACCTTTAACATTTTAATGATGCGTGATAAGATGTGACAGAGGAAAGGGTTAAGTACAATAATTTGAAGTGTCACAGGCTACTAGACCTCATGGCAATTTGACTGTACTGACATCCATGACAACTTTCAGTATGGTTAGTAGCTGAAAAGACTCAGCCCTGGCTAGTGCGAGGAATCACAATAGAGATTCTGACTACTTGGGTTCAAACCGAAGATCCTTGAAACAGTCTTTAAATGACAGTAGCAAAACTCTTTCTCCAGCCTTTTAACCCTACCTCAGTTTCTACTTGTTATCAATGTAAACGATACTGGCTACAGGGACAGTATGTTAAAGTGATAGTTCACTTCAAAATGTAAGTTCGTAAAATGTTTTCAGGCCTCAAAAGTGGTTTAATATCAGGATGAGTCAATGTGCCAGTCAATGTCCCACACCATCTGTTGCGTAGCTCTAGTGAGATTCGGCTGTATGTCTCAATCTCAAATTAATGGGAAAGATAGACACTGTTTAAAAACGATGAAATTAGACGTTGCCTATCTTTCCTATTCATTTGAGATTGAGACATGTTGCCGAATCTACACAACAAATGTTGTGGGACAGACTCATCTCAACATCACAAAAACGTTTTAGGCCTGAAAAAGTCAGACTATCACTTTAAGAGTGTTAGTATGATAACTCTTGCATGATAATGTTTGTAAGCCATTATTCAGAAAGTCACCTGTGGTATGTGTCCCCTCTGACCTAAGGCTGACCTTGCCAGCGCGGTCATGTGACACCATCCTAGCCAATCGCAGCCCCTCATCCATGAGCGTTTGTTGCATGAGATGGCGACTCCAGTTGGCAGGTATGGAGGTGTCGGTGGGGGGGCGGGGGGATGGAGATTGGTTGCACTGTGAGCCTACGTCTATTAAGACAGACAGGGTTAGGTGTGAATGCCATTTTGAACCAATCACATATATCTGCTTCTTGACAAGGCTGAGGCTGCTGAGGCTGCTGAGGCTGCTGAGGCTGCTGAGGCTGCTGAGGCTGCTGAGCTGCGTCCCAAATGGCACCCTATTCCCCATAGACGGTTTGGTTGATTAGCAACAAAACCGACACGTGCGCAACTATGGGGCAAAAAAGATGGGGTTGGCATAGATTGTTGACAACGTGTATAAATTAATTTTAGTCTCCAAATGTTTATTGAAAACATAAATACATTTGCACAATGAGCACTTGTTGTCTCTCAAATACATCGTTACAGTTGTTGGTTAGCTAGTTAGCGAATTTTAGCCATATGAGCATAGACATGAGTCAAAACACCTCAAAACAAGACATGGTATCAATAACAAGATACAAAGAGCTGAAACGAGCCACTTGCGATTCCCCACATGGCAGCTTCTTGTCATTGTTACTAGTTATCTGACCGTTCAGAATCATAACACCACTCGGCCTTCTGCCTCATCGATGCGCACAAATTTTTTGTGACGATGTCAGCCAACCCGTCTATTGGGCTACGGTCAAAAGTAGTGCACTATGTAGGGAATAGGGTGCCATTTGGGACATAACCTGACACTACAGAAAACATGAACTATTTGGCCTTGATTATCAATGGTGCTTTACAGTCAGTGGGGCTCTGTGACATTTACAGAAACACATAAAGAATGTCTGGGAATGGAATGTGATTAAGTGACACTTACTGTACAAGATCAGTGCTAAATGTGTTCAACAATTACTGTATATACATGCAAGACTTACTTGACTTAAGCCGATATACATGCTATTGTTATTAAGAAATAATATTTTGATCTGGACACCATACATACCTTGTGTTAAGCTGTCCAGACTCTCTCCTGATAGGCTGTCCTCATCAGCCCTCTGGGACATGCCCTCTGACCCCTCAACACCATGGAGGGAGGACACACTCTCTGACACTATCACCTGAAACACACACACAACCATTAAATACAGAAAACATCTCAAACACACACTTCCACACTATCACCCGAAACACACACCAAAACTTCATTTTGTGTGAATTACAATGCAATTACTACTGAAAAGTACCTATGGTATAAATGTATATATAGTATAGGACTAATTGAAAAGTAGCCATGGTATAAATGACAGCATATGAAATATTGCAATTTATTCTAATTACAGCTCATTGTCAACCAATGCCGTATCCAATACATTACCAATATTACACTGACAAAACAGATTTTGTACACCCACAATAACACATTTAAACAAGAGTGAGATAGAGTTTGGTATAGTTTTACTCTTTCCTGTTAGGGGTTCAGAGACTTTAGCCCACTCACCTCATTTTTTACTCTCTTTTGGGATGGTAAGCTGCAGTCATCTGCACTTGTTCTGTAATAAGAGAAGGAAAGTATAAGAAAGTAAAAAGGCAGTAACAGAAGAGCAAACCTCTTGTGCAAACTCCAGGATTCAGTTGGTCCTGTTGTCTGTTTGTTCATTAGCAAGTAGTAGCTCACTATATCCAATTACAATATAAAAACTGATGTTGAGTAACCAAACCTTGAGGCTATTTGTGGCTAACAGTAAGCACATACATTATTCATTGAGTTTGAAAGATATTTAATTTGTTGTTATTGATTATATGAGATGCTTGAGTGTTTGAATGTGCTTTCATTTTGTTGGTCACAAAGTATGACTTTGTTTTGGAGCTGATGCACTGACTGCAGTGCTGTCTGACTAATAGCATGACCTTGGCTAGGCTTAGCTATGTGTGCTGTGGGAGTTCCCAGCTTTCCCTCTGTTCTATACGCCCACCTCTCTTCGCCCCAATGCTGCCTGCAACCACATAGTACTCTACGATCATATCTGGTTGAGAAAAGGAATCATATATTCTCAAAGCAAAGGAGAACATGACATATTTTAATTTATCATATCGTAACACTCTCTATTTGGGTTTCTTTGTCTGCATCCCAAATGGTACCCTATTCCCTATGTAGTGCACTACGTTTGACCAGGGCACATAGGGGATATAGCCTAGTTATAGAGGAAGAGACAGAAGGTGAGAGGGTGAGAAGGTCATCAGACAGGGGTAGGGAACACCCTAAACTGCGGAGGCTCGTGCCCTTACCTGGTATGCTTCAGTGTGGAGGTGTAGGCGCATTCTCTCGCCACCTGTCTAGCCAATGAGAAGAGCTCTACCCTTCGCAGAAGCAGAGCGTTGTCACGCATACAGAACTGGGCGGCCGCTTCGTTGATGATCAGCTGAATCAAATAAGGTGAAAGGGGAAAGGGAATGTTAGAATGATATGAACAGAATTATAAAAATAAGACAAGGCTCAAGCCTCACACATATACCGGTAAACAGAGACCTCTTGTAGTGGAAACACTGATGCCCTCACCTCGTGATGTGTGAGCTGCTTGCCCTCCCTCCTCTTGGAGTCGAAGCGGCCGTAGATGAGGCTGTACTTGCGGATCTCCTCCTCCTTGGCCACGTCCTGGGGTGCCATCTTGAAGATGTGGCCCACCGTCTTGGCCATCTTCTTGTTCATCCTCAGCAGTGTCTTCACCTCTCTGGGGTCCGACCTGGGCAGGGTCCTCAGGAGCCTGTCCACACTCTCCCCCACTGCCTGCGCCGTCTCCCCATCCAGCTGGCCCCCGGGCCAGGCCGAGAGGGCTGCCGGGGAGAGGGAGGAGGAGGAGGCCGGGGGCGTGGAGGGACCTGGGGGACGCGGGGGGAGCAGAGGTGGGCTGGGCTGCTCCTCGTCCACCCCTGAGGCTGAGGCGCTGTTCCCGTCCAGCTCAGGGCTGAGCCAGTGGGGGTCCATTGGAGACAGCTTGTCCCTGTAGTGGGTGTCCTGGGGCTGCGGTGAGGCCTGGGAGCAGGGGCTTCTGGGGCTCCCGCTGTGCATAGGGGTGAGGCATGCCCTGTCCTCCCTGTCACACGGCGACCCCGGCTGCCCATTGCTCAGGGACTTCCTGAGTCCTCCGGCAGCAGTCCCGCTGGCACCCGTCCCATCCACCTTGAACAGTGGGATGCCCCCCAGGGGCACATTGGCCAGGGGCTGGTTGAAGAGGGCCGGGTTGGCCGCCCAGTCGCGGAGGGCCTTCTGCAGACGGCGCACGTGCAGTGGCTTGGTCGCCATGCCGACCAGCGCCATGATCTCCAAGAACTCGTCCTCTGCAGCCTCACAGAGCTGCTGCACGTCGTCGCCACCCTGCTGGATGAAGGTGTCGTAGTAGGCCAGCAGGTTGGCCCTCTGCAGCACCCGGTACAGCTGCAGCTCGCCCAGCGTGCGTGGCAGAGACATGGCGCAAGACTGGAGGTGGGCAAGAAGGAACAGACCGGAGGAGAGTTACTCAAGACTCTTAAGTTTAATAAATGTCTCATCAATCAATGGAAGGAGAAAATTGTTAGGATGTATTGTGTTGTGTGTACAGAATGCTTTATTCATTTGTTTGCTATATGGAATAATCTATATGTATTGTTATTTGGGCCTATGTTTTCTTTGGAATGTTGGCAATTGTCTACCAATCTTTTTGTGGTGTAGTGGTAAACTACTGTTGTGATGCTATATCTGGGAACAGATGTCTCATATAAGAACACATAAAGTCCATATCCATCAGATGTATTGTATAAGAAGATACAATTATTTATTTTTTTAACCAAAATTACAAAATTAGAGACTTCTACTCCAATAGCCTACTTTTCCTGATAGTATATTATTATTAGTGATAATCTTTGGTAACATTTCACATGTGGGTGCCCAACCCTCTATACCTCAAATATGCAGGATGTGTTCTCCAATTACGCATGGTATTATTGGGAAAATGTAGGCCTACAGTTTAGAAATGCACAATTGTTTATCTTTTATTCAAGTTATGAAAATAAAAAATAGTTTGTCTACTGAGTCCCGAATTTGATAGTTCATATAACGCACAAAGCGATGGTTACGAAAACAATCATTGAAAAAACAATGACAATAATATTACGCGCACATCCGTCCAAGCCCAATACCAGACAATACATATATCTATGGAACTAGACACGCATGTAAAATGTCATATTTCAGCATTAAAAATGTAAACGACTCCAACTTCATCTCTCACCTCGTCCACGTCGTCCGACGGCTGGATTGGCAGAGGGGACCCGCGCTCACTGAGTGACGGAGTTGTGTCTCCAGCAACAGAATCCAGTTTTCGCGCAATATGTGCCGCCTCGTAATAGGCTAGATTGTCTAATGATAAAGGTAAATGAGCAATAGCCTAATGGTTACCTCACTTTTAACCTTATCGAAAGTCCCATCCAATCCCGTTAAATTGTCATCAAAGAAAGGGGTGAGACAATATATTTTTTTTAAGAAACGGTGATCCACAGAGCTATTGTACACAGCCTATTGTAAATACCTTGATTTATATAATCGCTTTATTTCCCTGTAAAATCGTTTTCTTTCTCACTTCTGAGTGTTGTTGTCATCAGCTAAATCCCTGAGCATATCGTAACTCGTCTGGATTCGTTGGCAGATATCCTCCCCCGACGAACCTTATTGGTTGCTGGCTGCCTTTTTGCTGGTTGTGTGGGTGCGAGAAACCTGGGGGCGGCCTGCAGCACGCCATCTGACCGAAAAAGAGCTTTCCTCTCCCGGTAGAAAGGCGGCTTTCAAATTGGAGATGTGGGAGGCGGGGGCTTGAAAGACTGAGGTTTGCTTATTAACCCTTTAATTTTCTGATTTTATCTGACCACTTCGCAATAAGATGCACCTGTCTATGCCTATTCAATACAAATTGAGGACCACATAGGCTACCATTCTGGTCAGTCACATACATGTGTGAGGTGCACTGTATGATAGCCTAAGCTGATAATAGCACAACTTTCAATTTAATTCATCTCCCTTTATTGCACTAGATCAGTTATTTATATTGGGTGCTGTTTCACAGATAAATCGTATTGATCTACAGCGCAGTCGTGTAAACAAAATGGACATACAGTAATAGCCTGGTGCGGCAGAATCATCAAGTGGGTGGCAAATGGTGAAGGACAGTTTCCGATCGGTTGGGTAGATTCTCTGCATGACGCATGAGATAGGGGATTCCCCAATGATGCAACAGGCGTCACTGTGAATTTGATGTACAGTAGTCCTACAGCGTTGCAGGTTTGTTGTGATAAATAGGCTATCTTAAATTATTTGAACACAATCCGAAGTTCATTTTGGGTAAATGAATGGCATTTAGGCTCCAACATGTCTGGCCATGATTGTTTTAACTTGGGACGAATTGGTTAAATGGTTTATGTTGAGTAGGCCTATATGTTCACCACAGCTGTGTGATTTTGCACAAAGCACCATTGTGTCTGTGACCCTCCTTTGGGTCACCATGTAGGCGTTGAAGCATGCTGACACACGTTCTATCTGCGCCCTCTCAACCAAATAAGCAATCTTTAAAAATATATATATATATCAAAAGATTTGTGTGTGAAATGAAAGTATAGAGATTGAAATGAAAACTATAAACTATAGGCGTCACTATTTCTACTAGGCTGCAATTTTCTATTAGACCACAGTGCTTTCGGAAAGTATTCAGACCTCTTCCCTTTTTCCACATTTTGTTACGTTACATACTTATTCTAAAATGGATTACATAATTTTTTCCCTCATCAATCTACACACAATACTCCATAATGACAAAGCGAAAACAGGTTTTTAGACATTTTTTATCATTTATAAAAAATTAAAAACATAAATACCTTATTTACATAAGTATTCAGACCCTTTGCTACGAGACTCGAAATTGAGCTCAGGTGCATCCTGTTTCCATTGATCATCCTTGAGATGTTTCTACAACTTGATTGGAGTCCACCTGTGGTAAATTCAATTGATTGGACATGATTTGGAAAGACACACCTCTCTATATAAGGTCCCACAGTTGACAGTGCATGCCAGAGCAAAAACCAAGGATTGTATCGAGGTGCAGATCTGGGGAAGGGTACCAAAAAAATTCTGCAGCATTAAAGGTCCCCAGGAACACATCTCTTCCTAGAGCTGGCCGCCCGGCCAAACTGAGCCATCGGGGGAGAAGGGCCTTGGTCAGGGAGGTGACCAAGAACCCGATGGTCACTCTGACAGAGCTCTAGAGTTCCTCTGTGGAGATGGGAAAACCTTCCAGAAGGACAACCATCTCTGCAGCACTCCACCAATCAGGCCTTTATGGTAGAGTGGTCAGACGGAAGCCACTCCTCAGTAAAAGGCACATGACAGCCCACTTGGAGTTTGCCAAAAGGCACCTAAAGGACTCTCAGACCATGAGAAACAAGATTCTCTGGTCTGATGAAACCAAGATTGAACTCTTTGGCTTGAATGCCAAAAGTCACGTCTGGAGGAAACCTGGCACCATCCTTACGGTGAAGCATGGTGGTGGCAGCATCATACTGTGGGGATGTTTTTCAGCGGCAGGGACTGGGAGACTAATCAGGATCGAGGGAAAGATGAACGGAGCAAAGTACAGAAAGATCCTTGATGAAAACTTGCTCCAGAGCGCTCAAGACCTCAGACTGGGGCGAAAGTTCACCTTCCAACAGGCACACAGCCAAGCCAACGCAGGAGTGGCTTCGGGACAAGTCTCTGAATGTCCTTGAGTGGCCCAGCCAGAGCCCAGACTTAAACCTGATCGAACATCTCTGGAGAGACCTGAAAATAGCTGTGCAGCAACGCTCCCCATACAACTTGACAGAGTTTGAGAGGATCTGCAGAGAAGATTGGGAGAAACGCCCCAAATACAGGTGTGCCAAGCATGTAGCATCATACGCAAGAAGACTCAAGGCTGTAATCGCTGACAAGGGTGCTTCAACAAAGTACTGAGTAAAGGGTCTGAATACTCATGTAAATGTGATATTTCCGTTTTTTATTTTTAATACAGTTGTAGAAATTTCTAAAAACCTGTTTTTGCTTTGTCATTATGGGGTGTAGATTGATGAGGATTTTTTTTCTCATCCATTTTAGAATAAGGCTGTAACGTAACAAAATGTGGAAAAAGTCAAGGCGTCTGAATACTTTCCGGATGCACTGTACACTTTCCTAAAATTCTAATAATAGTAGGCCTAATTGGACCAGATAATTCTGATTTTCTTATAATAATGATTGCCCTCTTACAATATCAGATTGACTATAGGTCAAATTCCTGGTAGGCTACAGGAATTTGACCTATCCATCTCCAGCCTAACTAACTAGACACTGGGCCTGATCAGACAGCTCAGCGCTTCTGCTTATTTCTGTCCATATAAACACATGGATGGGTGGAAGAGGCAACGTAGGGAAGGAGCAAGGAAGGAGGTCGTGGTCAAAGAAAATCCCCTGCCTGTCTTGATTGAAACAAGTTCCCTGGAGAGTGTGCTGTGCCCCCTACCGGTTTTGAGCCCCTCTTTACTCCCCCCTCTGCAGTGGAGAGCCCTGGTTGATCTCACAGCCGCCCACACCGACTACTTGCATACACAAACACACACACTCCTTGAGGAACACACAGCATCCGGAATGGGCAGAAATAGGCTAGAGAATGCAATGCATCCGGGGAGTGTGTGTGTGGGTGGAGAAGGCAGACATGAGAGAGTGGATGGTGTTTGAGAGTAGGAAAAAATGACTGCATGATATCCATGTTTACATTGTTGAATCAACAATAACTTGTTTTGTTTAAATAGGGAGTAATCTAGACAATAGTTTGCCTTTTATAATTATTTTAATGATTATTTCGTTATTAGGCCTAGGCTTCTTGAAGATAATACAATTGTAGACCCATATAATTGTTTTGATATAAAGAGAAACCTGGTGATTAACGTTACATTCATCCTCTTCTCTTTACACTCAGTAGTAAAAGTTCACTGGGAACGTTTGTGAGCGAGCGCAAATTTGTTCTGGCAAGGATAGGGTTAATCCACCGGAAACGAGGTTGTGGTTTGTTTCCCTCGGAAGTGGAAAATAGTAAGACAAACAACAAGGACAGCGTTAGCCAATAACAAAATAAGGGAAAATAAATAATATTTGAATTAGGAGAAAGAACACACTCTAGTAATACAGGTTAAGAATAATTTGCATTCACAATTAAATAAAAATTTCTTTCAACGAGAAGAATTGATCAGTTTGCCACATTTGGTCATTCCATAGGAGCAACGCTAACGTTACAGCGCTCGAGCTAGCCATCGAAAGGAAGGCTACATTGTGTCATCTAATTTTGCCTTCCTTTTCTACGGAAGAGAAAAGTGAGTTGTGTTGGTTGTCATTTTTCCCAATGTTATTCCAGTCAGTGTTAGCAGTCAAATAGCTAAAATAATATTATCAATAATCCGCCGTTAATATTGTTAAAATTGCATTAACTAGATATCTAGCTAAATACGAACAAACGAATGTTGTAAGCTAGTTAGCGTTTTAGCTACGAGACAGCTAGATATTCGTCTCAAGACAGTTGGTCTGAATGCTCGCGACGGCGACGACATTAACTTATTAGCTATAACCGAACATTGCCCCAACTATCCTATGATATTCCGTCCCAGTCATTTCTTTTGAATTACATTTCTAGCTAGCTAGTGCAACTGCTGACAACCAGATAACTAGCTAAAGAGTTTGGTTTATCTTTTCAAAATGTCGGCGCTGCGGAGCAGCTCTTTGAGTGGCTATTGTGGTCATCAAATAGGACATTATTGCAAATAACATGTTATTACTTTGACAACAACAATGATAAATGCAGAAACTCCACATCCCGTTTGATTTCACTTTTCGGTTAGCTTTAGATTAGACCCCTTGTTCTGGTGCGAGGGAAAGTGAAAGTGTTACAGGTAGGCTAATGTTTAAACTTGCTGTCTCTCCACAGACAAGAACCAGATACAAGATGAGGCTAGTCGGGTCCAAGGATTGTAACGATTGATCCTTCATTAAATGTCATAATGTCTGCTAAGTGTCTGCATTGGGTAGGGTACCTAGGACAATGACGCCTGCCATTCCAGTATTATTCAGCTGTCCTTATCTGACTCTTCAGCCCTGCTGAGGTGTGGTGTCGGAGAAGGTGAGTGAGAATGGATCAAGGCCCCCACCTGCCATGAGATTGGATACTTTTTTGGAACTTTAATCAAGAGACAGGGAGGAAGATGGAGAAAGAGGTGGCTGAGAGGGAGGTGGAGATGGAGGGAGAGACATGGACTGTAGAGGCAACTGAGGAGAGTCCTGAGGAGAGTCCTGAAGAGCTGCCCTCAGGTGTTCCTCCCCTCCCATCTTCAACCGCCATGCCCAACCAGTGGGAAGTCAGAGGAGATGAGGAGGAAACTCAACAACCAGTTCCCAATAAGGACATGACGGACTATATCAAAGTTACCCCTCAGGATATCCCATCCCCAGTCATCCAGGAGGACTCTGAAGATGTAGAAGCAGAGGATTGTGGGATCGCAGATGCCAATGAGGACGATGAGGTCTCTCTGAGACAGGAGGGGGTGGAGCATGTGGAGAGAGAAGAAAATGAGGAGACGGAGGGTGGAGATGAAGAGGAGAGCGGAGGGAAGGAGCCACGCATAAACGGGGAGTCAGGCTGGAGGAGCTCAGGGGCCGGAGGGAGGAGAGGCCGGTCCCGGAACAGCGGAGGAGGAGGGGGGGCAGTCTCGGAGCATAACACCCAGGCTACATCATCATCCTCGTCCACCTACCTCCCTAAAGGTTCCTTGTCGTCGGGCGGTGGTAGGCACAAGCAGGCCCGGAGGCGCAACCACCACCATCAACAGGGCCGGGGCCGGCGGCGGACGGGCACCCAGCTGGCCTTGGCCTTCAGGGAGCTGCTGTCGGAGTCGCTCAGCCCCTGGTGCATCTCCTGCATCCACATGGTGGTGGAGATCATCGTCACCGTGACCCACCGATGCGGGGTGGCCGTGGAGGCCGGAGGGGTGGCCCTCTACGACCTGGGCTCACAGCTGCTCAACAAGGTCACGGACGTGCCGGGGATGAAGGCGGACGCCCAACGCGTGCTGGAGAGGGTAAGGTGCGCCGGGGCGGTCCTTGTGGATAAGAGCGTCCGGTTGGTGAAATGGGTCCGGAAGGCCTCCCTGAACTGCTTCAGCTTCCTTTGTGCCGTGGTGCTGCTGGGGTTCCAGTGGGCCCGGTTCATGCTGGTCCGGCTGGGCGGGGAGAGGGCCCAGCGGTGGTGGACGGCCATGCAGGACTCCAGGGTATGGAGGAGGGTGGCGTCGCTGGTGGAGAGGGTCAGTGGCTGGTTCAGGAGGAGAGCCACCCAGGTGCCCCCCTTCACCCCAGAGTCTCCCGGTGGAGCAGGCAGATACCAGCCTGGGAAGGAGCTGGAGAGACTGCTAGCGCTGGCTCAAGTCCCTGAGGAGGAGCTGGACCCTTTTACAGTGCTGGGGGTGGAGGCCCACGCCACTGAAGCGGAGCTAAAGAGGGCCTACAGACAGCTGGCTGTCCAGGTGAGTTTACGGGTGCAATGAGATGGGCATTATATCTTTTGAATACAGGTGTATGATAAAAAATGTGTGGAACTCATCAACTGGAGAGTGTAGCAATTATAGACAAACACAAGCCAATGCAGGTTTGCACTTGGCTGTGCATGGCTGCATGCATCTTTATTGTTTTATATCCACAATATAAAATGTAATCAGAAAATGACTAGAAGTAGCCAACCTGTTGGGTCTCTTCCTTAGTTTTTCTCTCTCTTCCGTTATGTTATCTGCTCCGCCCTTTACATCTGTTCCATCTTTCTCTTTTCCTTCCTCTCTCAGGTCCATCCAGACAAGAACAAGCACCCGCGCGCTGGGGAGGCCTTTAAGGTGCTGAGGGCTGCCTGGGACATCGTCAGTAACCCTGAGACACGGAGGGAATACGACCTGTGAGTAGAAGACACACAAGCTACTAGACCAGTACTTATATCAAATGCAAGAAACCATGATCACATGACTTCACCTTTAACAAATACCTCTGAAGTTAGAACTCAGGCCTCTCACAATAGGATTACAGATGGAGAAGCATTCCTTAACTGTGGTCCTTAGCATGGTATAGTCAATCTAAAGGCCTGTGGAATGTTTAGTTTAGTTCCTCAGTAACCCAGATACATGGAGAGAATATGTGTTATGAGTAGAAGGCACACAAACTGGACGATTACTCAAATGAAGAAACCGTGATCGAATGACTGCACTGAAGGCCGGTGGGATGTTTGGTGTAGCTGATATGGCTTTGACTTTTGTTTGCCTGCACCTCCCTCAGGAAGCGCATGGCGCAGACAGAACTTTCCAAGTCGATGAATGAGTTCCTCACCAAACTGCAGGACGACCTGAAGGAAGCTATGAACACTATGATGTGCACCAAGTGTGAGGGCAAGCACAGGTACGTCACTGACTGAATTAATATCTATAATATCTGAATATCTATTAAAAATATCTATATCATACATTTATAACCAACACCCTGCAGACTGTTGTGAAAGGAGGGATTGGAATAGTAATATAATTTACCTACCCTGCAGTCTTGTCACCCCTACAGTATTTAGCTTAATTCATTAATGATATGGTGACTAAATCACTAAAATTGTATTTATACATTTTGCTGCCTACAAAATAATTTGTTACATACAAAAAGCACAGGCCAGACATAAAGAGCATCCCATTCTGCATTGTTTAGTTTAAGTTGCTGACTCCTCCCTGTGTGTGCAGGAGGTTTGAGATGGACCGGGAGCCTGCGGAGGCGCGGTTCTGTGCAGAGTGTAATAGACGCCACAGCGCCGAGGAGGGAGACCTGTGGGCCGAGTCCAGCATGCTGGGCCTACGCATCACATACTTCGCCTGCATGGATGGCAAGGTCTACGACATCACAGGTACTGGCTTGACTATGGCAGTTTTCGAGAGCATCAAAACTGTTATGCATTGTGGGTACATTTTGACTGACTGACTGATCTAAAAAAATAAATAATTAGTAGTTATTTATGCTGCAAGGTGATTTGTAAATCAGTCAGTCTGCAATCGCAAACTGCAATGCAGTCGATGTCGAACAAGCCCATTGCTTTTACAAGCCGTGTAATGACACCCACATGGATAGTTAGGCTCTCATGTATGCTAATGCAATACTACTTTATGTATTTTTATTTTATTATTTATTTAACCTTTATTTAAGTAGGCAAGTCAGTTAAGAACAAATTCTTATTTACAATGATGGCCTACACCGGCCAAACCCGGACGACGCTGGGCCAATTGTGCGCCGCCCTACGGGACTCCCAATCACTTATTGACTTAATGATGTTGTTGTTCTGTTTCATCGGTAAACTAAAAGCACTCTTAACAAGCCAACTGACAGGCTCAAGATCTCTACAACTAAATTGAATTCTAAGCTGCCAAATAATGTTAAGGCACCTAAAGTCAGACTGACTATTTCTTCTCCTAGCCGCTTGCTTCAGTATTGTCACATTGATTAATTTGTGTCACCTTTTCTGCTCTCACCTTTCAGAGTGGGCCGGCTGCCAGAGGATAGGAATCTCTCCAGACACACACCGCGTGCCCTACCACATCTCCTTCGGATCCAAGAACAACGGCAGCTCCACGCAGCGCCACAGGTAGGTCCCAGGGCAATGAGGGTTTCGTTCCAATAATCTCATCTTCCTCCTGAAGTAAGCTCGTTAACTACTCCATACAAATGTAAAAGCATTGGATTGGTGTATGCATGGGCTAGAGGGAGTTTCCATATACCAGTCATATCCTTTCAAATCCATGAAGGGAAGGGAACAAGTGCACACTTCAGGAGAAAGGAAAGATTATTGGGATGCAACCAAGGGGGGTTGATCCGAGGCCATTCGGCCCGCGTGCCACCAGTTACCCATCCCTGGTGGGCTAAATGGAAATAGAATGAATGTAACAGAATGAAAGGCTACCCAAGGCTCTGATGAAGGTTGTTTGTATGTCCCGTGAATAAAACTCAAGACACCGAGTGCTCCTTTTTCTTGGTTTTCCTGGAGTCACCTGTTGAATGTTTTTTTTAATGTAACTCTCCTCTCATGATCTCCAGGACACCTCCAGGCCCAGAGCACCCTCCTCCAGGCCCGACCAACCCCGCTGACCTGCAAGACTTCTTCAACCGCATCTTCCAGGGGGGACCTCCCCCCGATATCGCTGCCAACGGGGGTTTCTTCCCTTCAGGACCGCCCCCCCATCACCCCTCTGCTGCTGGACCGGGACCTAGTGGACCTTTCTCCCCTCCTCCACCTCAGACTGGCTTCTTCATGCCTCCTGGAGGGCCCCGGCCGGAGCCCAGCGAGACGTGGGCCGAGAGCGGAGGCAAACCTCCGCCCCGCAGGAAAAAGAAGGTCCGCAAGCCCTTCCAGAGGTGAGAGCGGCCATTGTTGTGATGCGTCATCGTAGCAACACGGGGACACTCAACATGCGGCCATGTCTTTATCTCTTGCTTGTCTGTCAGAGAGCCCGGACCTCCTCCTACTGTACATGAGTCGAAGGATCACTCGAGCTCAGGAAGATTCACACTGGTCAGGGCTACCACACAACTCAATGACTGACAACACAGAGGTCCCAAGCCAGAGATGAGACTGGACCATGTAAAAGAAGAAGAAACTAACTCCGAGTTGAAGTATATTTGGGGTTAGGAGGTGGCAGTCTTTTTGCTTCTCCCTCTTTCATTTGTTTTCTTCTTGCGTGAAACAGCTGTAGCCATGCCACTGAAATCACAAGCCTATTGCTTATATTGCAGACACATTTCCTTAGGTCTTACTTTCCTGCACAATCCTGCATACACGATTGCATCATTACATGCCATTGGACACTTTAGTTCTTGACACTTTTGTGATAAATGTTTTGGCATATGGTAATCTAATCTTGATTCATTTCTGGATTGAACTGCTCAAGCTGAATCCTGGGAGAAGACTGTCTCCAGAGAGAGGGCTGCTCTGCCCGTTACTGCTTGTACATACCCTTCCTTCTGCCTGTTGCCTTCTTTGATAAATTGTTAGGTTATCATTTGAACAACTGCTTTTCTGCCATTTTTATTGCTTTGAATGAAGTTAGAGTGAAAGTTTGTCACTAATTTATATTGGAAAGTAAGTTTGTGGGGAATGCTTTTCCACCTGAATTAGAGTGAACGTTTGCTCCCTGCCAAACATAGATACGTTACAAAAGTATGTGGACACCTGCTCGTTACATCTTATTCCAAAATTATGGGCATTTAAATGGAGTTGGTCTGCCCTTTGCTGCTATAACAGCCTCCACTCTTCTGGGAAGGCTTTCCACTAGATGTTGGAACATTGCTGCGGGGACGTGCTTCCATTCAGCCACAAGAGCATTAGTGAGGTTGGGCGATTAGGCCTGGCTCGCAGTCGGCGTTCCAATTCATCCCACCCAAAGGTGTTCAATGGGGTTGAGGTCAGTGCTCTGTGCAGGCCAGTCAAGTTCTTCCACACCGATCTTGACAAACCATTTTTGTATGGACCTCACTTTGTGCACGGGGGCATTGTCATGCTGAAACAGGAAAGGTCCTTCCCCAAACTGTTGCCACAAAGTTGGAAGCACAGAATCGTCTAGAATGTTATTGTATGCTGTATCGTTAAGATTTCCCTTCACTGGAACTAAGGGGCCTAGCCCGAAATAATGAAAAACAACCTCAGACCATTATTCCTCCTCCACCAAACTTTACAGTTGGCACTATGCATTCGGGCAGGTAGCGTTCTCCTGGCATCTGCCAGACTCGTCCGTCGGACTGCCAGATGATGAAGCGTGATTGACGTTGCTTCCAGAGGCAGTTTGGAACTCGGTAGTGAGTGTTGCAACCGAGGACAGATTATTTTTACGCTCGGCGGTCCCTTTCTGTGAGCTTGTGTGGCCTACCACTTCGCGGCTGAGCCGTTGTTGCGCCTAAATGTTTCCACTTCACAATAACAGCACTTACAGTTGACCGGGGCAGCTCTAGCAGGGCAGAAATTTGACAAACTGACTTGTTGGAAAGGTGGCATCCTATGATGGTGCCACGTTGAAAGTCACGGAGCTCTTCAGTACAGGCCATTCTACTGCCAATGTCTATTGAGATAGCATGGCTGTGTGCTCGATTTTATACACCCCTCAGCAACGTGTGTGGCTGAAATAGCCGAATCCATTAATCCACATGCTTTTGGCCATGTAGTGTATCAACTCTGTCTAGCTACAGTGAATACTGTATGTTTAATCTGTCTCTCAACACATTGAAGCCCACTTAGAAGCACTTTGAGGCATCAGAGGTTAGCAAGTTCACATTCAAATCAAGACGGTTATATTGTGAGTCAAGGACCTAGGCTATTTACTGCTTGCAGTCCCTAAGTATTGGTGTGATTGTCTGGAAGGCATCCTGTTGTTCCTGTGGCTCAAGAGAAAGCTAGTTTCATCTCCGAATTGCATCTTGACACCCTTTAAGATTGGAGGTGACTGAGCTTCCATTGAGAACACAATGACTGTAGTAGTGTACAAGATTAGTTATCAGAGATTACTCTTTGACAGATACTTACCAACAGTTTAAAGGTTTGATTGAATGACAGGGGGAGCTGAATGTCAAGACTAACAGTCCTACCACCACATTCTATTTAAAAGAAAAGCTACCACTACCCTCTCTTTCGCCCCTTTCTCAGTAGTCAGGATGCTCCAGATTGAAGAGGAATAGAATGTACAGTATTCAGATCTCTAACAATCTGCCTGTACTCATTATGGCAAATCATTGGGTTTTTCCTGTGGAGATACAGTATTGGAAATAAATGTGGTGAAAGTTGATAATCTAATTCCTTTTAAAACCACAGGACTAGCTAGGTTCCAGTGAAGGAGATGAAACATTGGAGAAACATTCAAACGTTGAGAGGTCTGGGGCCATATTTATCGATCGCCTCAGAGGAGGAGTGCTGATCTAGGTTCCGGCTTTTCCATGTAATCTTATTCATTAGGATCAAAAAGGCAAAACTGATCATAGATCAGTACTCCTACTCTGAGACGCTTTATGAATATGTGCCCTGCCCAGGTATCGGTTCCATTAACCTCTCGTTGGTTGTACCTTTGATTTGTGTTATTCTGTGGATGTTGGGAGATGGATTGTAGCTTTGATTTAGGGGGCCTAGGTCCCTTGTTGCACATGTTTATTTGCTCTCCTTGAAGTGAAAAAAAGTTTTCAATGGATTTGTCCACTTGCTTTTTCTTAAATGTTTTAATGGAGGTATTATATAGGTTTAATTTAATCTATTTTAGTCTGAATTGTCAATTCTGTCAATGTTTAGATACCCTAGTTGACTTGAGAATGTATGGCTTAAGTAGCAGTCGAAAGCGGCAAGTCAACTAAGGGCTCCCATTGTGGAAGAAGAGCCAATATCCCCGAATATTATTGTTTCTTTAGATATTTTTAAACAGTATATGCAAAAAATAATATTGCAAAGAATCAGACAATCAGCAGGGTTAAATGTGTGGGGCACTTGCATTTTTTTCTGTTTGTTTTTTGGGTAGGAAAGTGAGTTTACTGGCAAGAGTTTATTACAATTGTGAAAGTGTTCAGTTGATTTAGCTTTTCTCTGGATTTCATAATAAAGTTGATTTCCTACAGATGATTGAATGGACTTTGTTTGTTTTGTGAGTTATGTGTATTGAATTACGTCTTCAAGTTACAACTCTCACAAGACAGGAGAATGCTGGATAATTCCAATGGAGCAGAAACCAGGGGACCTGCTGATGGCACTTCTGGAGCACACCCAAGAAATTGTGTTTTACAACACACTCATTTTAAACATACAGTAGATCAAACCCATATTTATACACAAGTGGTCCACAACACAGTCCTGGGTAGCTGTCCTGCTTTTCTGATGGAAGGCCATAGACAGCCAGGACAGTAACATTTAGTAATGACAACCACTTTGGACCGTATCCCAATAGATTATTGGGTGTGCCAATGAAGTGGTGCAGCTGCAGGTGATAGTTGTGGAAAATAATCAAAATGAATCTCCACACCACACCCTTGGTACAGGACAGGTTGATTTACAGTACCAGTCAAAAGTTTGGACACACCTACTCATTCCAGGGTTTTTCTTCATTTGTACTATTTTCTACATTGTAGAATAATAGTGAAGACATCAAAGCTATGACATAACACATATGGAATGTAGTAACCAAAGAAGTGTTAAAAGATATGATATATTTGAGATTCTTCAAAGTAGCCACCCTTTGCCTTGACAGCTTTGCACACTTTTTTTTATTTATTTTATTTTATTTCACCTTTATTTAACCAGGTAAGCCAGTTGAGAACAGGTTCTCATTTACAACTGCGACCTGGCCAAGATAAAGCAAAGTAGTGCAATAAAAACAACACAGAGTTACATATGGGGTAAAAAAAACATAAAGTCAGAAATACAACAGAAAATATATATACAGTGTGTGCAAATGTAGCAAGTTATGGAGGTAAGGCAATAAATAGGCTATAGTGCAGAATAATTACAATAGTATTAACACTGGAATGCTAGATGTGCAAGAGATTATGTGCAAATAGAGATACTGGGGTGCAAAAGAGCAAAATAAATAACAATATAGGGATGAGGTAGTTGGGTGGGCTAATTTCAGATGGGCTGTGTACAGGTGCAGTGATCGGTAAGGTGCTCTGACAACTGATGCTTAAAGTTATTGAGGGAGATAAGAGTCTCCAGCTTCAGAGATTTTTGCAATTCGTTCCAGTCATTGGCAGCAGAGAACTGGAAGGAATGGCGGCCAAAGGAGGTGTTGGCTTTGGGAATGACCAGTGAGATATACCTGCTGGAGCGCAGACTACGGGTGGGTGCTGCTATGGTGACCAATGAGCTAAGATAAGGCGGGGATTTGTCTAGCAGTGATTTATAGATGGCCTGGAGCCAGTGGGTTTGACGACGAACATGTAGTGAGGACCAGCCAACAAGAGCGTACAGGTCACAGTGGTGGGTAGTGTATGGGGCTTTGGAGACAAAACGGATGGCACTGTGATAGACTACATCCAATTTGCTGAGTAGAGTGTTGGAGGCTATTTTGTAAATGACATCGCCGAAGTCAAGGATCGGTAGGATAGTCAGTTTTACGAGGGCATGTTTGGCAGCATGAGTGAAGGAGGCTTTGTTGCGAAATAGGAAGCCGATTCTAGATTTCACTTTGGATTGGAGATTCTTTATGTGAGTCTGGAAGTTGAGTTTACAGTCTAACCAGACACCTAGATATTTGTAGTTGTCCACATACTCTAGGTCAGACCCGTCGAGAGTGGTGATTCTAGTCGGGTGGGCGGGTGCTAGCAGCGTTCGATTGAAAAGCATCCATTTAGTTTTACTAGTGTTTAAGAGCAGTTGAAGGCTACTGAAGGATTGTTGTATGGCATTGAAGCTCGTTTGGAGGTTTGTTAACACAGTGTCCAATGAAGGGCCAGATGTATACAAAATGGTGTCGTCTGCGTAGAGGTGGATCTGAGAGTCACCAGCAGCAAGAGCGACATCATTGATATACACGGAGAAAAGTGTCGGCCCAAGAATTGAACCCTGTGGCACCCCCATAGAGACTGCCATAGGTCCAGACAACAGGCCCTCCGATTTGACACACTGAACTCTATCTGAGAAGTAGTTGGTGAACCAGGCGAGGCAGTCATTTGAGAAACCAAGGCTATTTAGTCTGCCAATAAGAATGCGGTGGTTGACAGAGTCGAAAGCCTTGGCCAGGTCGATGAAGACGGCTGCACAGTACTGTCTATTATCAATCGCGGTTATAATATCGTTTAGGACCTTGAGCGTGGCTGAAGTGCACCCGTGACCAGCTCGGAAACCGGATTGCATAGCGGAGAAGGTACGGTGGTATTCGAAATGGTCGATGATCTGTTTGTTAACTTGGCTTTCGAATACTTTCGAAAGGCAGGGCAGGATGGATATAGGTCTGTAGCAGTTTGGATCTAGAGTGTCACCCCCTTTGAAGAGGGGGATGACCGCGGCAGCTTTCCAATCTCTGGGGATCTCAGACGTTATGAAAGAGAGGTTGAACAGACTAGTAATAGGGGTTGCGACAATTTCGGCGGCTAGTTTTAGAAAGAAAGGGTCCAGATTGTCTAGCCCAGCTTATTTGTAGGGGTCCAGATTTTGCAGCGCTTTCAAAACATCAGCTGTCTGAATT